TGTAGGTGTGAGTTTTGTGAATTGTTTGTTAGGTAGATGATGGGTGGTGTTGGTGGTGTTGGTGTTGGAGAAAAATTTGGGCGGGGAAGTGATGGGATGAGATGATCGGCTGGCGGGGTGGGTCGGGGATGGTGGGGGTGTTTAATCTATTATCTACTTGGTACGAGAAGCAGTAGCAGACTAGTATGATTATTGAGATTTGATTTCCAATTGAAAAGACTATTTGTTTCTATTTGATCTTGGTACCATACTAATATCCAAATTGCGATGTGACTGTGTTAGTCTACAAAACATCTCCATCTCCCCTCATCAGCCTGCATCAGGCTAACTCCTTCAGCACAATCCCAGCAACAATAGGCCAGCTCCTCCGAGCTAATTAGCGGAACATAAGGTCATACGACCGAGTCCGTCTCGGAGCCTGATCCTCAAACGAGTGATCTTCACTATTTATACCCGATAGCTACTATCTACGGCGACGCCAATATAAACCTCGGCCCGCCTTCCTTTGTTCCCTTTCCCTAGTACTACTTACTGCCGCTTAAGTGCCCAACAATAATATATCCGCGCATAACCACTCCAAACCTCATCTACTAGTATTGATTCATCCACCCTACACCTCCTCCAACAGACAAAGAAATATAATGCGCCCCTCAACCCGCCTGATTCTCCTCACCACACCCCCCGCCATCCTAACCTACACCACTCATCGCTACCTCTCCACCCTCGAAGCCAAATATCCCCCCATCGACCCAACCACCACCACAAGCCTCGCTCTCCGCACCCCCAGCAATGCAACAACCCAACACTGTCCCGAAATCGACGTCTACGAGGCCAGACACATACCCGTGAAATCGCTACTAAAGCGATACTCAACTCTTCTCCAAGCTCAGCACACCGAAACCCATGACTTTAAGAATTCGAATAAAGCAACCCTAACAAACGCCTGGATCCTCACCTTCCTCAACACCCGTCCGTTGATAGTCGAAGGCAGCATCATCGGCTTAATCAAAAACAAATCCTACAATCCAGGAGATACGGGCCTCACTGACCCGGAGTTCATCACTACATCCACGAACACATCTACATACATTTCCAGATTCGCATCCATCTTCACCACCCCGAAACCCCAAATTTCAGACCACACAAAAGAAAAAGCAAAAGGAGGGGGCCGCCCCCTCCTGAACTCCGCCCTCACAGTCCAAGCATCCTCCCCCACAACAGGCCTCCTCGTATCATGGCACATGCCGGACGAACCGCGCCTCTTCTTCGAGAAAATAGCCCGATGGGGATACCCATGGCGACTGATGAGCGGGGGCCGACACGAGATCAACATCTCAGAGGTGTATATGTACCAGGGGGAGGAAGTAGTAGATGTACGGTTTGCGTCAGCGCATGATTATGAGGTAGTAGGTGATGAAGAACCGAAGCAGAAGATTGTTCCTGCTTGGGTGGGCAGGTTGCATCGCGGGTATGCGAGGGCGTTGGTGGATTGGGCTGTGAGTGATTTGGCCGAGGCTTGAAGTAAGTATATTTTGGCTTGAACGTGATCTCCGCTCTGTACAGTATATATATACCATTGTTTATGTTTAGTGCATATCTCATCTCAACTCATCTCATATAATATCATCACATCACATCACATCAAATCAAATCATCTACTACTAAACGGAGCTAGTGGAAAGAGAAGAAAGAATGTTAACAATCCCCCCCATGCTCAACAACCCCCCACCCCTTCCACCCCCAATACTTGACACACACTTCCCATCCATCGCGAATGACCTCTACCCTCCCGCTTCCATTTCCGCTCCCGCATACATCATACAGACATAGATCATATGTCGTTGCGCCGGGACTCTTCCATGAAAAGGTGTCCACCGCGGATACATTCACGCTGGCGTCGTCGAGAGTCTCGCATCCATCTGTGCCTGAGACGCCTTGTCGGTGGAAGATGGAGAGGTCGAAGCTGGTGGTGTTGGGGTCGCAGCCTGGTTTGAAGAGGCGGAGGTCCCACTTTATAGGTTCTACGATGTTAGTGTGGGAAGGATTGGGTGGTGGAGTGGAGAGGGGGGACGTACGTTTTTGAAGCGGAGAATATCAAGGGAGGATGTATATGCTGTGGGAACGAAGAGGAGGGTGGTTATGGTGGGGAGGAGATTGAGCTTCATTTTTTGATACTACTGAGTAATCACAGTAACTATTCTTGTGAAGGGACGGAGGAAGAACGTGGTAGAGATACTTGAGGGGGTTGGGGATGTCTATACTATTTATACGCAACAGGTCCCTGCAGATCAGGCACGCTAGTGCTTCACATCTCCGCTAATGCAGGGATCCGGACCAAAGAGCGAACCATGGGCCTCGCTTACCCTCGCACAAAGTGTCATCTGGATACTTTCAATGCACCCGTCTGATTCTTCATGTCTAGAACTCTTGAGGTTTTATGCTATATTTAAATACATTGTCCACTGACTAGTGTCTGCCCGGGGTTAATCTCCACGCCCGGAGGGGCAGACCCTGCAGTTTCAAAACGGCCGGCCGGATGAAGAAGAAAAATGTCACTACGCCAATCAACACGCACAGGATGTTTGTCGTGTAGTATCCGTCGTGCTGGACGTGGCAGGTGCCTCCTCCGTTGACGCAGCGCGTCCGGTCTGGCTCCAGTGCACATGAGAAGGCTTCCGTGACGAGGTCACCCTTTAGTTTCTCGGACGGCGGGGGCACCGTTGGTGGAACACATGTCGCTTCGGTGAACATGTCGACCAGCTTAAGGATGAAGTATCGAGGGAATGTACCGCCCAGGTTGGAGACACTGTCGTTTGAGTGATTAGTAAAGGTTGTCTGTATAGTAGGGTAGCAGGACTTACGTTGCGAGCATTGTCATGTAGGTGCCGCCGATGCTGGGGTCGGCGATGCGCGCATGGAATGCACTCACCGCCACAAACATCACCGTATTCATGAATGTCGAAAACACATGCTCTCCAATCACTGTCAGGAGGTACCAGAACGGGACCTGGTCGGCCGACGGGAAAATCATCACCGTGATCTGGGCCAGGACGGCTGCCGCCAGTCGTCCGATGAACGCCCAGCACCACAGCCGCATGGGCGTGTACTCCGTCGACCACTTGCCGGCGTAGTATCCCAGTCCGATTTCAAAAGGAAAGTCTATCAACACCACTAGCGCCATGTTGTCTTGACCGAACCCCTTGTCTAACAGTTTCAAACTCGTCACGCCGTCGTTGGCTTGAAAACCAATCTTGGCAATCAGATGAACCAGGATGATGGTATGGATGTTCTTGAGCTTCAACACATTCCACATGCTGCGGTACACGTCCATGATGCTATCGCGTTCATGCGTCCGGTCTTCCTTCTTCATGACGGCCAGACAGGTCGTAACAACGAGATAAGCCCATCCCCAGAACTTCAAGTACGTGCCCAGCGACAGCAGTCCACCTTCCGCAGGAACGGCCCGGAACCAGCGATTAGCAAAGTCGGCCGAGTTGAATGCCAAAAACACAGTGTAAGACAGGAAGTGGCCGGCTGTTAATCCCACTGTCTGGGCAGTCGAGGCGTAGGAGATATTTGGTGGCGACATGAGTGTGATTGCCCATCCATCGACCGCAATATCCTGTGTGGCGCAGAAGAACACCAGCAAGAACCACCAGTATGTAAATTTCCAAACACCAGCACCTCCATTGGCGCCAGCCTCCTTCATCATCTCTTCAATGCTTCCGCCCAGGTAGATCATGGCCAATCCGGCGATAACCTGGACGGGCGTGATCCAACTCTTGCGTCTGCCGAACCGCCGGCTCCAGATGGCATCGACAATAGGGCTCCAAAGCAGCTTCAACGAGTATGGGTAGGATGCGAGTGAAAAGACACCGATTTGACCGTACGACAGGTACGGCTTCAGTAGGAACGGGACCGACCCAGTAGCCAGTCCCATAGGAATACCCTGGAGGAAGTATAGCACACACAGCAGCAGAAAGTTTCTCCGGTCGCTGGCGGGCAGATTCGCGAACGAGGTTGTCGTCATGGCGGGCGTTTGCGGGGTCATTGGAGGATCTTGGTCAAGAGTGAAACTGGGACGTGACATGAGGCGATTCGCCCGAGCGGACGTGGACTCGACAGAAGTGTCCCTCTTTCGCATCTCGATGGAGGAATCCATGCTGTCGCTCGCGTAGCCGTTCTGGCCCGTCGCTATGGTCAAGGAGGGCTTCGAGCGGCGTTTCAAGACCGTGCGGCCTTTGCGCTTCATGGGTGATTTGCCACGATGGGAGGAAGAGTGCGGGTGTCGCGAGTGTAGAGAGTGACTGGGGGAATCCGAATCGGAGGATTCGGGCTCAGATGGTGAAGGCGAGAGAAAGGCGGAGTGTCCGGGGCGATTGTCCGAGGGGTGGTCTGTGTAATGCAAAGGATGGTCGTGTTCACGCGTGTCGGTGCTGCATGCTAGAGACTGGAGTTCCACCTCCTGAGGACGATCCGCTGCGGAATGACGATGTTCGTGGGAAGAGTAGGGATCCGCAGGGTCATGGAGGGAGGAAGAAGCGGAGAAAGGGGGCACACGGGAAGAGGGAGACGAAGGAAGGACTGGAACAGGCCGGGATGAGGCATCCATGCGACGTGGTGGAGAGAGAGGCGAGTGAACTTGAGGCAAGCTGGCCTCAAGCGTCAAGCTTGTTTGTCCACAGCTGTTTGGCTGGAACCGGCGATATCTCCCTTATGATTGGCTGCGGTTAGCCGTCATTATTAATGTTGCGCATTAAGGGCCTGGCGATCCCTCCATGCGGTGATTCTTCAGATGCAGATGGAATACCTTAGTAAAGATCTCGTGCTGGGGTAATTCTGTGCGACCACAGAGCCTCCAATTATTCCTACTCGAAGCTACAACTGAACCTCTTCACCATAGGTTGGATACTTATACAATACAGTTACAATACCGACTCTATTCAACACACACACATCAATAGCCTATTCAGGGATAAACATTCAAGACTCCTCGCTCCCAAAGTAAGGACATAAGTCAAATGCCAGCCGACCCAGCGCGGTGGATCACAGACCAGGATACAATTCACCCGCCAATCGAACTGCAACCTTGAAAGGAGCCGCGGGCCCGGATCCCCCTCACGTGATATTCCTCCTGTCAACAAACACCGCCTAATACCACCACCAAACATAGTAGTACGTTGTATCTATCTCCGCCCGAGCTCCATCCACCACTAAACCCTCCACCATCCAAACAACATAGTCCCCTATACCAAGAAAATGGACACTGACGACCTTGACTCCGAAATCTCCTCCATCCGCGCAGAAAGTACGCCCCAACCCTCCCATCCCCATCCCCCCCCCCACAAACCAAAACACCAACACTAACCCACCCGCGCAGTCCGCACCCTCCAACATCGCCGTCGCATCCTAACAAGCAGCCTCCTCTCCTCGCGCCCCCTCCAACGCCTCGCCAAATCCCAACCACCAACCCTCCCCTCCCAACAGCAATGGACCGACATCTCCCCCCTAATCCAAAGCACCTCGACCCACGCGCAAACAAACCATCACCGCATCGCCTTCTCCACAACCACCTTCCCATTCACGGACCCCTCCCCGACATCTGAATCCCCCAACCTCCTAGGCATCAGGATAGATATTTGCGCGCGCGACGGAACATACACCAAACCGTACTACATACTCCTCCGACGGACAGCACACAAGACACAAGATGGGAAGAGGGAAGTGCGCGTGCATAAGCATACCGTTCCGGCGGTGGTGGATATGAGGAAGTTGGAGAGGGTGTTTCTGCCGGCTTCATCCATGACTACTTCTCAGGATGGGGAAGACGCGATGGATGAGGAGCAGGAGCAGGAGCAACTGAAACCATGGAAACACAAGGCGCGCAAACAGGATCTCAAGTCCTTTGTTCGGGAGGTGCGCAAGCAGTTGGTTGTGTGGCATTTACGGTGCGATGCTGTGCGCTATCTGCGAGAGAAACTGGGCGTCGTGACACGTGGAGTAAATGACGACGACGGTATCTATGAGGATGATGAGAGGCCCTGGGAGAGGGATATTCTTGGCCCTAATGCTTCTACGACGGCTGCTACTGGAGGTTCCGGTGCTGGGGAGGAGACGCGCATAGCGAAGAATGAACTTGGGATTGTGTCGTTGGCGCCGACGGCGTTGGAGGCGGTCTATGTGCGGGTGGAGTGGGAGGATGGGCGCGTGGGGAGGTTCAAGATCTCTAATACGGGGGTCGTGGAACGCGCGGTGGTGATTGGGGATACTGGTAGAGATAAGCAGACTGAGGGGATTATTACGGGCGGGGACGGGAGGGTTGAGACATTGCTGGAGCGGTTGGGGAAGCGTCGCGGGAATAGTAAGGAGGTTGGCTCTGCGTCGCCGGCTTCTGATGTGTGATTGATTGATCGTTTGATGCCTCTTCGTGTGCTTATTGGCGTTTACTGGGTGCATTGGCTAGCGAGCTGTACCTTCAGATACTCCAGATTTTGGTTAGAATTTATCCTGTCATATGTGTGGGACTGATCGTCCTATTGGAAACATAAAGCAAGGTCTATTATAAGGGGAATGTCCACTATCAACGCTATGCACATGAATGAATCTGTATAAAAGCGGCTGTCGTGTATGATGCTTGATGCTCGCTCCTGAACAGCACCAGGCAGCAACAGAAGAATGTAATGAAGAAAGGCCAAGGAGTGACAAGAAGAGAAGTAATTACAAAAAGGGTAATAAGGGTAGGGTGAGTATATGAGACATTAGTGTAGTAGTATATAGGAACCGCATATATGCATGATGAGACCGAGGGAAAAAGGAAAGGGTATCACTTAGGCATCACATCATAATCAAAGCACCTGTCCCCCTCTCTTCTGGTGCACCGGTCCCTCATCACCGCTGGCAGCTCCTGTCTGGTCGGTCACGCAAATGGCCGAGTCGCGCGTTTCATAATGCGAGTCGCTGAACGACAAAGGGGGCAGCGGGCCGTACGGCTGCCCGTGTTGCACTTCCAGTTTCTTTCGCAAGATGGCTTCTTCCAGAGCCCAGCGATGTCGTAATTTCGACTTTTTGGCGTCAAAAGCTTGTAAAATGTCCGCTTCTTCCTGCTGATGCTTTTGCTGCATCTGGGCAAACTCCAAGGCATGCTTGTCAATCATATCGTCCAGCTCTCTTTCCATTCGCGCGATGGCCTCTTGAAGTCGAAGTTCTTGGCGGTCGCGCAACACCTTGATCTTGGCTCGATGCAGTTGGTCCATGGTGTTATGGTTATGATACTCCTGTGCCAACTGAGCCTTGTGTTGCGCGGTGAACTTGCGACTCGGCACCACGTCTGCTTTCGAACCGGATACGGGCGATGGCGGCGGGCTCGAGTTGTTGAAGAACCCTTCCATGTACTTGATGCGCGTGCGCGAGTTCACTTTTGCGCGTTCGAATTCTCGCATTTGCTCCATTTCCACTGTGAGCTGTCGTTCCTCCATGCGAACGGCATCGGCGGTGTTCTGCAGAGGTCAGTATGTAAGATACAGTCTTCAATATCGGAGACAAACCTTCTCACGCTTCTTCTCTTCCGCGCGCTTGTTCTCCGCAAGCTGGTCCGCAACGATAGATTGCTGTCGCCGTCGCAGTTGTGCCATGAATGCGTCCTGAAAAGCATTGTGCCGATTCATCTCCGCTATATGGGACTCGCGCATCTGGTATAATTGTGCATCATCCAAGCTTCGCTGCATCGATTCATTGTCGAAGACGGGGATCTCAAGCCTGAGAACCTGCTTATCTTCCTCGGCAGAATCGCTGTTTTGTGCTTCCGACGGTCTCGACTCGACATATACTCGTTCGACGCCTTTCTCGCCCTTGGCGACGGTGATCTGCGCGGCCGGCGGAAGAAGGACCGGAGATGGCGATCGCTTCTTCCTAAAATGGATCTTCCCGATTGCCGACTTGAGCGTTGATTTTCTCCTTTCCCTTTTGTCCGCGGAGGTCATGCTAAACATTGATGCACGGTTCCCAGGTGGCCTTGCCGCGAGGCTATCTATCCCCGGCGCCAGCCTTCCCTCAAATGAGCTATAAGATGTCGGCCGAGTGGACATGGACGCGAATGACCGAGTGCTGCCACCCTGGACAGGCTCGGAGGCCACGGTAAAATCGGAGAGGGACGAGGCGAGTTGATCGATCTGCGGCGGGGTCTCGATGGACGGAACGACTTCGTAGGTAGAGTTGCGATCGGTCGAGGAGCCGGAGGATCTGATGGGGGAGGACAAGTCCATCATACCGGAGGCAATGGATGCAGCTAACGATGCCACCACCTCGACTTCCGGCACCTTTAGCCCCAGTTGACGTGCATCCTCCACCAATCTTTGTTCTTGCGCCGTTTCTGATTCCTCGGATGGTAGAAGAAGAACCTCAGTGCGGTACCGAGACTCGTCAACCTCGGTGAAATTTATCGGCTCCATGATGCAATTGGCGATAGGCGGGATCGTTAATCACACATGGAGCACGTATCGCGGAAAAATATGACACTAATAACAATAACGCCGACAGGCAGATCGAAAAGTAAGGATATGGGCAATAAGAAATAATAAAGAAAAAAAGAAAAAGAAAAGGGGGGTTCTAGTATCAAGAACGCGAATCGCGAGACGCTAGATGGCTCGTCCACAGTACTAGAAGCACGGTGGACGAGAAGAAGGCGCTCAAGAGCAGCATCCGACTTGCGGGGAGGGGCGAACTCTGGAAAGAGACGGGATGGGAGAAAGAGAGGGAAAGGAGGGCGACTCGTCGACTGAGGACGGAGGAGTCCAAAGAGAGGGAATGAGCTAATGAGAGCGAGGATTACTCTGCGGCGGGCCAACAGCGAGGAGCAGAGGCAATGCGACAACCTGATTTGGGCCTCAAGTTCGTTATTGTTATTATTGCGACCCACGGCCCGCCTGACCGATTCTTCCTCATTAAACGGCGGCGGAGGCCAGTGGTAATCTGCTGCATCCACTATGGGGGGTGGGCTGGTGGTGTGCTTTAGTGTGTATGGGGGAAGTACCAGGAAGTTAAGGGAAAAGATCGTTGCAGAATCAGCACGTTGATTATCAGGCCGCTTTTTCTCAGATGTTAAAATTAGTACCCCCTGTCACCAGAACAGAAAGCAAAGAAAAGGGGAACGAAAAAAAAAAAAGGTGATGCATAATAGCCATTGTGAATCTGACACAGTGACCAACCAGGCTGTCAGCCATGTTGCTCTCATCCTCGGGACCGACTCAGGCACCAGGGCGTGGATACGTTACCCGCGTAATCCTCATACCTCCTTCCCCGTTTTGCCTGGCAAACCGCCGTCACTTCTGAAACAACCCCCTCAATCGGGCCATGTTGTAGGGTATAGGGTAGGGCCGCGGGTGTCAGCCGCCCACCACACAGCGTCAACCGCGGTTTCAGCCACTGCAACACCATGGCTTAAGGTCAGGAACCGCCGCTTCAGGATCCCACGCGGTCTCATATAAGGATTGGCATGGTGGCCCACTGTTCCTGAGTTTTTGCTTTTCCAGACCCTTCTCTTCATCACGCTTTTTTTCTCCTCGTCCAGTAGCATGCTGATCAATTGAAACCGATGGGGTCGGTAACTGCTGGCTCGCTCCCTAGTGCCAGACTAGGCAGGAGGGGGTGGTGATGGTGGTCTGATGTTTCCATGGATGGCTTGAGTCTTAACAATCCCGATCACTGACCACCTTCACCGCTTTTTACCTCACGCTACACATTAAGAAAGTGAGGGTGCGATCAAGAAAACCTCGTTTTAAGTAGATATGTGTCTATGATACATCTCTAGAGACAAAACATCTACCTGGACAACATGGCTGCCGCCATGGCATACGTCTTCTCTCTTGCATCACCCTGCACCGTTCCTGGGCGAGCAGATTTATCCCAGCCATGATTGCAGCCCTGCATTCGCTGCCGCACCACCTCCTTCCCCGGTTCCTTGGCAATTTTCTCCGCCAACGCCTCCGCCTCAGGCGCCAAGTTGTCGCAGGCCGCAGTGACAATCATCACCCGCGCAGGGAATCGGTCTGCGCTTGCATAAAGCGGCGATATCCTCGGGTCTCGGGTATCATATGCAGCATGCGTGTAACACCTGTCAAAAATCTTCGAGATGACAGCGGGGATCGCTCTGCCTGAAGTATCCGGTGCGGTCTTCAACGCCGGGTCCGTATGTAGATCCACCACGGGATAGACCGCCAGAACGGAGTGGAAGGTGTCTGGCGGAAACAGGTTGGCCGCAGCTGCCAGGGAGAGGTTGCCGCCCGCACTGAAGCCGGACAGAGAGACACGGCCAAGATCAAATTTCTCGGGCTGTCCCAGAACCCACTTGGCCACATCCTCGGCATCATTGAGAGCTGCGGGGAAGGGGTCCTCGGGTGCTAGGCGGTACTGGACATCGAGGACTGTACGGTCGGTTTCGCGACTCATCTGGCGACAGTATGCATCGTCGGCTCCGTGACGAGGGAGCATGAACCCACTGCCATGGAAGTTGATCAACACGGGGGTCGGCCCTGTGGATACGGTTGCATTTCGGTAGACGTGGGCTTTGATGGTCCGTCCTGAGTCGCGTGACGGAATCTGATAGACGTCATCTGGCGTAGCTTGCGTATTTTTCTTAGGGGCGATGAATCGCCTGATCAAGAACGCAAGGACTTTGTAATAAAGGTAGACGATGGAGAACATTGCGGGGTTGTGTGGTGTGCCGTTGCCGAGGAAGACGGACCGTCGCGAAAGGTGAGATCAGCTCAGGTTGAGAGCCAGAAAGCAATTGCAGCACTACTGTACGTTGATGCTCAGTAGGAGACGGAATATGAATAGGAGGTTTGGTAGGCACCAGAGTTGTGCCGAACGAACTAATTTCCCCTCTTATCTCGCTCCACTCGTTGATGACGAAATATTCGCGTGGCTATTGCCAGCGTTTTGGTCGGTTCCACTAACGGGCCAATCCACAAGCCACCCATTCCGCCCAAAGCTTAGTGTACGAGGCGATACCTTTCTATAGCATTCGAGCAACGCTCGTAGAATTTCACCAGATACCATTGGTAAGACTCGACAACCTCATGGTAGGACAAAAGGGGTATTTACTCCGCACAAATGTTCTGTGAAACTCGATTTCCCGCTATGTTCTGAACATCATGGAAGCCGAGGTAGTCATGTTTGTTGTCGTGTTATCGTGTTATCTGCCATTTAGCTAGCAGGACAACGATGCGCAAGTCTGAGTTTGAAGTGAGAAATTTATTTCTATATTCTGAGACATAGTGAAGTATGAGCGTTACTTTATGGAAAGCATAAAGTGGGTTTTTTTCGTTACACTTTCCTCATGCCTCAGCTACTAACCCCTTTCCGAGCGGCCAGCAGATTTATACTAATAGTACCATCTTAGAAGTCATGATCGAGGCTAGATAAATACTACTGCTTCCGAATAGTCTTCCGAGTATCTTGACTTTATTGACGTACAGAGCACTAGTAATTCCAATGCGTTAATATTCTAGTAATATGGAGATAAACCTACAGACTAGGATTTTGCTTATTGGCGAAATATAGGCCAGGAGAAAATCAGTACCTGAGCACAGGATGTCAATGTAATAATGCTAATATCTATCAAGTGAGTCAGCGAATTCTGTAACTAATTAGCCTGAAGGGAGAGAAATGTTGCTATCAGGAAGGACACATCAGTACCTAAGTAAATTGGCAGTTCCCGTTAGGTAGTATAGTGAGTAGGTAAAACTTCACAGGGATGTGGAAGCAGGATGTCAACCTTTAGAGAGTAAGTTTGGCCTGCGTGAACCGGATAGATGTGATAAGGCAACTTAGGGAGCTCATTTTAGTAGTAAATCACGAGGAATAGACTGATTCATTGAATAAGTGCAATAAAGGCGTAGGGTAGTAGGATGCCTAGTATAATTAGCAGGCTAAGAGTCTGCTGCAGAAGAAGAGCTCAGTTAGAAAATTGTATCAACCGACTCATCTTATGGTAGTGATATATTGTTTATTCAATGTCTTCGGAAACCACTACACTTATCAGGCTAATAATCCTTTAGGGACTATGTTATTCCATATATAGCACTATTATGCCTTGAAATATGCTTTGCGTTAGATGATAATACTGAGCTATACGTTTCTTTGGACTCCTCTACATACGCAGTCATTAAACATAGTGCCATAGTCTATATGAAAATCAAGATGAGAGAAAAACATTGATTGGCCGCAGCCCGAGCAAGCAGTTTCAAGACGGCAAGTTCGGGACAGGGACTGAAACCCAACCTCCCTCGCCAGTCTCCTCTCGACGAGAAAGGACCTGTAAGTCCCACCTCCCGCAGTATCCATCGTAATTAGCAACTCGTGTCACTTTCGAAAACGAACCCCCTTCACTCGATTCATCCTCAACCCAGACCGTCTCTTGTACTTCCTCGCCTGGGATCTCTGCTCGGCGGGGGTTATAAAACGGAAGGCCAAACGCGGTGCTAGAAAGCCAATGGGCGACAGAGTAGAGCCTCTCCACCCGACGGGTAATTCTAAGCCAACTGAAAGAGCGAGGGTGGTAGGCCACACGAATGAAAGGGTTCATGTAGATGCCTGAATCCACCTTATCCTCTCCTCCAACATTCTGTGCATCCATAGAAGACGAAGAGGGCCAGCTTTGAATATCTGCGTGTATCAAACAACATTCAGACGATTCCCAGAAAAGATCCTCCTCGCTGCGAAATTGCACAGGCACGCGGCGTCCGCGGTAATAGGTTGGCTGGTCCGTGTCTGCTGCTGTTGGAGTCCGGCTCTGGAAAAACCCGGCATCGAAGGCAACCATTCCTCCCCAACAGCTACGCACCCGGACTGCATCAGTTTCCTGCAGAACATCAGAGCGGCTCTGCGCTTTACCCGCAGTGGTGAACCATGGAAAGAATGGGAGTCCCATGCCGTAACCCTCAAGGTCGCGCGAGGCAAAGGTATCGTAGAACTTGAACGGGTTGATAAAGTCGACTGCACACGCAGCTCGATAGTCTGGACGGCCGTCGCGGGTATGTGTCGAGAACAGAAGCTGCAAGGCATCCAGGGGATCGAAGTAGACGTCGTTCAGGAAGAGCAGGCGGTCGAACCGATGGTTCAGATCATCCAAGGGACGTAAGGCCCGGTTGCGGACCTCTGCTAGATAGGCCACGCGGCGCACGTGGCTAGAACCATCGGGTAACGTAACGGTGGGAAAGCCCGTGAAGTCGAAATGCTTGTCGTACACAATAGATTTGTTACAAGGGACTCGATCACTGAGTGCCCACAATGCTTGCTCGCCACTGGCATCGCTGTCATTTTCGTAGATGCTCAGGAAGACACGGTCCGGCCCGATCATGTCGATCAGATCCAGGAGGCTCTGGCCCCACGCGCCACCCGCCAGAGCTCCAGTCTTGTCATAAAGGCTGACCGCGATGAAGACGGTAGAGTTGTGTATATTTCCCCGGCCTGAAGTTGTGGAGCCTTGGACGGCTGATTGCAGGGCCCGATAGTGAGGTGGCAAGTGAGTATAGGAAGGGAATAATACAAAGGTGGTAATAATGAGGCCAGACAGGATGAAGAACAGAAAAAAGACAATCCTACGAACTGTGAAGGTAGCAGTAAAATAGCGCCTTCGTATGCGCCACTTCACTGTTCGGGATGTCTGAGACAAGGTGGCTATCAGACGATCGACGCGGGAGACTCGAGAACGAGTGGGATACCCATCTATGGGATCGTCCCTCGCCAATTCAATCTCTTCGTCCTCGTCAAACGAGGTGCGAGCGATGGGCTCATACAGATTCCTCGTAGATCGTCCCATGTTGTATGTGGCCACGACAGTGTCAAATGTTACTCCTGAGCGCAAGGCTGACGGGGGGATCTGTAGGTCGGGGCCTACTTCATATTTCTTCTGGGCGCTTACTTTTGGGCTTACTGAGCGAAGCAAACACTTTGCCTTTTCGAATTTAGATTCATGTGAATGCCGATCGCTACATTTATTTTGGTCATGTTGAGCTGCATGATTTACTAAGAAAATAGTGCTTCTTTCAACCAGTAATATGTAATAAGCCAAGGTACCTACCAACCAGGATTAGTACAGCTGCTAGCATAGCTACTACTGCAGCTACTAGAGCGTGGCTGAGACCATAGGCAACACTATTTGGAGTAGCACGGTAATTCCATGAGAAAATCATGGCGTCTAGCCAGGGTGCTGTTGATGGGGCAGGTCTGCGGGAATTGAGGATAGAAATAATAAGAACGAAGAAGCCGGTTACTTTCTTTTTTTTTTTTTACAGTGTAGCACTACCTACCTATGTATCATATCAACAAGCCAGCCTAAACGCAGCAAAAGCTGGATGGTCTGATTGGTGATGGATGTAGTCTAAATAATATTAAACGCTGAGAGATGGAAGGGAACCTCAACGTTGCTACCGTAGGATCGCCTGAGGCGCCCTGGAGTTTGCCGGGAAAGACCCGTCACTTTGCGGTGGGTCCGAACCCTACCCGACAATCCTCCGGCGTGTCTCGTGCCACCACACATTGAATCTGACCACGCCGTTTCTCGACGGCTGGCAAAGCTTAAGCTGACGTGGTCTATCCATCCGTGTCGCTGACTCTAGCAACTGTTAGCCTCAGTAGCGCACAACGACCAGAATTGTCTGCAGCACATTGAAGCATCCCAGAACCACAAAGTGCTAGTCGTAATTGAACTCGTTGAGGGTGCAGGGATCTCAGCTGAGACATTCTAGAGTGCACTAGGTAGTTAGTATGTCTTACCAGGGCCCTAGTACTGGATAGATATTATTTACCCCGGTTAGCGCCTGTGTCATGGCCGGCAGCCTGAGGCTAATTGATCCAGAAAGGCCTTACCGAATACGAATAAGGCAGATCCACTCGGTCTGGTTCACATATATGTGCTGTGATTAGTAGGCTAGGAGGGTGTAGGGTCTCGACTTCTCCAGCGATGTATTTTTCTCGACAGCTCATGAAGGTGGTGCTTGAAGTAGGCCTCTCCCTTTGTAGACCATTCGTTCGCAAAGCCTGCCTCATATTAAAACACCTGAGATCTAATCGCTTTGAAAAAGCCTGTCTACATATTCTTCTTGACGAGGCACTCGATGGCCGGCTGTAAAATAATCTGCTGTTACTGAGTACACATTGGCCAGAGTGTGCGGGTGTCACAGGGTCCATTCTGAAAATACTATACTTGGACTAGTAGTTCGAGACTCCGGGACGGGACCTAGCCGATGATAAGACAGAGTAGCAAACATCATTCCAGAATATACAGACATTAGTACCATGACCTAGCTTGGGATAAGCCGAGTTTGATACGGGGAGGCCATTTTCGTCTCATACTTATAGATGTCTGCCTTGAAATCTGCTCATTCATACACAGATGCCAGATTCTGAGCAGATATCCATTTCAATAGTTGTCTGAGGCAGGTTAATAGTAAATTTGGTGTGCTCAGTTGCCTACCATTCTGCGGGCTCTCAACTCGACCTATTGGCCTATTGGTGGGGGCAGACTTGGGTGGGTTTGATGGACCAGAGCGCTGGGTTCGCCTGCGCACTGTGCATGCTGTTGAGCCACCAGGCTCACCCTCAGCGCCTGATCAGTGCTGTCCCCAGGCTTGGGGAGTGCTTTCCGGCACCCTGCCCCGCCACCAACTCCGCTCCCCTGTCATCTTGTCCTCCTTCCGCTCCTCCCCCTTGTTCTCCAAGCTACCCTCCGCTCCATCCCCACCCTAACAACCGGCTCTCCGTCCACATGTCACGGGATTTCCGCCGGAGAATATACTGAATTCCCTCAAATTCCTGTCGTCCCAGCTCTCACCTACCGCCATCGCTGCACCACAAGGAATGATATCTCGGGTGTAATACTCTGAGCTCTTCCGGCTGTTATCTTGGAAGATCCTTGCCATTTCCTGCTCTTGAAACAGTTGATGGGATTGTATGAGTACGTTGTCGAACAGTCTACTTTCGTAATTGAACATTTAGCAGTCGCCACATGTTCAATTACTATATAAATTTACACAAGGTATGAGAAAGGGGAGAGAGGTGGATATCCCGCATTCTCTTTGTCGGTTAAAGAAGCAAACAGACAAGATGCTTTATTCGATCATGATTACGTCCTCTATACATACTTGAAATCACTGCTACAAGAACAACTAGCCTTTCAAGCTATTTCAGATAGGTCAATTTGAATCTGGCACACACTTCCTAATCCTAACCCTCCTGAAAGGACCACCACAGCTTAGCGCCTCCTTAGATACGGATTATCCAGGGTTCTATCAGCGATCGGAAGATATGGGACAAGATCACCCAAGATAGCACCAATGCCATGTAAAATATTGCGTTCTCGTCGGTTTTCGCCGAAGATACTCAAAGTATCATCCTGTTCATACTGCAGCACGGTAATATTGTGTCCACGAAGCACAGCCCCGAACTTTGGCCAACCAGCACCGGGGCAATACTCACCACGCCTGAATAGATCACGTATAAGACCCATCAAATCATCTTTATCGGCTTCTTCTGGACCTGAAACGGCCAGAAACACTGGACACCTATAAGCCGTGCTAGTGACAACAAGAATTTCATACTTGATAAGGCGGCCAGTGGAAGACAGGTAACTGTGGTCTTTTATAATCACTGAGCGCAAGTCACTTTCCTCGAATCCTGCTTCATCGACGTAGCCGTGTCTATCGAACCGTTGTACCCACTGTTCTTGAAGGGTACGCGAGAGTAGACCGATATACCCGTGATCAGGGGCTGGCGTACTCGATGTCGGGGCATACATTGCGGACGATGTATGAGAGCAGATATGGTACGATAAATAGTGTGTCTGTGTGCGAAATGGAAAGAAGTCGATGGATTTATGGACGAAGCTTGCAGTTGATACCAGTAAAGAAGCGATTGCCGGTCTGATATACAGAAAGAGAAGCCAAATGAAGGGGTTCCAAGGCTCCTTATATATAAATTTTCATCTTCCACACCAGACGCACGTGCAGAAGAAGCCATTGAGGATTGCGTCGCTGCATGTCTCAACTACTATATGACTTCCATATCATCATACGTATGTCTCCGTCAATTACCTCTCTGTTGCGCTGATAAGATTCTATTCCCTGTGCCTCGAGCGAGAATATTCCAATTCTCCGGATGACATCCCTATAATAGTGGGAAACAACCCAGAGGGCGTCAGATTCATATACGACAATATGCAACTATCCATCACACACTCATATAAGAATTCTTGGCCTGCCATGAGTGGAACGGAATCAACCTCAGACATTATCGCACGGCTTTAGAAAGACTGTAGAATAGCTCTCTCCAGCTGTGCTTTTTTCTGGCCAACACAACACATATACCAATCGGGAAAATTAGTTCACTCATTCAGTGCACCAATCTTGATCTGGATCTTTCCCCATAGCCATGAATCACAAAAGGAACCCTCTAGACACCCTGCAATTACAGCTGGAGTGTCAGGAAGATTCCATGCCGACGGAAAATATCTGGAATTTGACTGTAATGCATTGGTTGGTATATGGTCAGCATGTGGTATGTGACTTCGTGTGTTTCCCCTGGAGTCCCTTTCTGCAGGTCTTCCAATATTGCTGGAATAGAGTTTGAAAACTGGTTTACTGTCTCCTAGTTCCACTATCTTTGAAACAATTGGGAGAATTGTACAGCCATTCACGTATACAGGTATGTGATCAAATACTTATGTGTAAGTGCATTTATCCAACTGAGAACATCATGTGCTCTACGCTGATACATATTTACTACTACATGTACGCAGAGCCTTTAGAGCCTCTGGAAATTTTCAATTCAGTTCAAGACACGGGTCTAACCCTTCAGACAAACCCACACGTGGAATCTCAATTTGTCCCCATCTCATCCGGGATCTGAAATTCCCCAACGATCTCATCCAAGAGACGTATAATCCTCCCCCAGAGAACATGATGCACTCTCTCCCCCTCAAACTCCACCCATTGTAGGCGATGTTCGGAATCCGCTTTAAAGACAGCTATGTCATGACCATAAATGAGAGCCCCGTACTGCGGCCACCCATCACGAGGCTTATTATTCTTGTCCGCGAACGCAGAGCGTAGCCTGGCGGCCAGTATATCGCAAACATATTTATGGACATTTCGATCACAGGCGGGAGCCTCCCCGTCAGGTGTTAGTAATCCATCGAATGCTTCAGCCCCAATGGCAACAAAAACTGGCCCATATTTCCTGCTGCACACTACGAGATTTCCGTATGTGAGGATGCCCGGGTATTTTGGGTCTGGTGTGTCCCTTAGGAATCGGGAGAGCAGTTTATTCAAGTCGCCGCGCTCGAACCCGCGCTTGGAGACATTTCCTTGTTCATCGACCTTTTGCTCGAACTGGCGTATGAGGGTGTCTGCAAAGTTGAGAATGTTCGATGTGTCGACGGTCATCGCGGTTGTGGGTGAGGAGGGTGAGAATGTTTGGAGAATCTTAAGGAACGGGGATGACGAGCAGTATAATCGTCACTGCTGAGAGACCTAGTTTGATCTAGATCAAGAGAAAGAGAGTGAGAGAACTCCGCCGAGTTTTTATGTACCCTTTCCCCCCACTCATCAGGCGCACAAGGCGTCATCGTGCATTCGCCCTACAGCTGGGTATAAACCATCCAATCCAAAATTTTATATGTACTCCTTCGCTACTTTCCTTCTTAAGTTTCCAAGGGCGATAGGGCAACAAGGAACCTAGATCCCGTCTTCATGCGCATGGTGCTTGAGTGTAGACGGGGTATATACCTCAAGAAACCACTTGTCCTGCGGGAAACCGAGGCGATGAGGCATAATTGAGCCTTACAGCAACAACTCAGGCACATACCTTACGAATGGCCGGGTTCAGCCTCACCCTTCATCGTAGTGATGTTATTCACGCCCATAGCTCACTTTCGAATTCCACCAAAACAGGTACGCAGCCAAGACACTATAAGCAAAGAACAATCCAATATTTCCAACTAGCAGATTCGGGATCTTCCCTTCACGTCCATGGAAGTCACTATCAGAAAAGAAGTTGACAGAACGACTTTGCCCCATCGCAATATCTCAACGTGCATCATTCAGAAACATTTTATGTGTAACGAGATGGGTCTAGCTTTGACTTGTAAGGTGATGTATGAATAGTGGTGCATACTCTTGCCATCGTAGATGGTTGTTGCTGGACTATGATGAATTGAAATTGGTATATTGATATTTTTGCTCATAGCATAACACATTATCTAGTGCGGAAGAATCCGTTATATAGCATCGATTAGGCATACATCTTTAACATCCCTCATGTCTCAAACAGAAGGACACATGCTCCTCATCACTTCTATTTTTACTCCGGAACAATGCAGAGTGGATTTACCGACCAATCTTCTGCAGCTCCAAATACCGCAGAGGCGGGAACACAAGCATCGCCCAGGAAACACCAACCCAGATACCCAGGTCCGCGCCGTCCGAACCAACCATCCTGGCAATCGGGCCAACATACCATATTTGGTCCATGCAGACGATCGCACCCGCCCATCCGATCAAGAACGCAGCCAGAGCAGCAAGGCCGAGGGGCAACTTGGACCGGTCAGCCCAGGCATCCCAATCGAAGCCGCGGGTGCGGCGGAAGATGAGGTGTTCTTCGAGGGCGATGGTAAGATAGATGGTTACCCAATAACCCATCAAGGCCAAGAAGTTTTCGAAGATATCGTAGAGGTGGTTCCGGCCACCCAGGGCGCAGGCAGTGTAGATGATCACGCAAACACAGGAGAGGAACCATCTGGGAAGGCTGCCGAGGTGGCGGCCCATGATCTGGAAGCCCAGGGTGGCAGAGTAAGTTCCAGGGATGTTGTTGGCAATGAGACCCAGGGCAACGAGGACGCCCAAGAACTTGCCAAATCCCCCGAGACCATCGTATCCGGCGATAATGAGAGCTCCAGCAGAGGTGTCGTAGGCCTCCGCCCAGGATGGGTTCGTCAGCGTGCCACTGGCGAGGCCGATGCCCATAAGGTTGGCAAAAGAGAGGGCAAGGCCGACACCGAAGAGGGTGAGAGTGAAAGTCTTCCACTTCGAGGTGGTGGGTGGGAAGTAGACGAAGAAATCAGCACCAGCAGGGGCCCAGGCAACTGAACTGGAAAGGCAGAGCGAGAAGAAGGTGAGACGGTTGGCGTTGATGGTCTGGGTGTCGCCAGTGGAGGAGATGTTGGTGTCGAATTTCGGGCCGGCACTGCCGACCAAGACGAAAATGGCGATGAGTTGAGGCACCCAGGCCCATCGCTCGTACACGTGGAAAGGCGCCATACCAAAGACCACGACGATCCACGTGATGATGGCAATGATGATGATTCCCACCACCACCGTTAACCCACCATCAGCAACCGCGGACAGCACCTGGCCACCCACGAGGCAGTCGATCATTCCATAACCCAACATGATGATAATGTTCAGAAGACAAGCGATCTTACTCGGGTAGTAGCCCATGAAATATCTCGCGACAACCTATAAGTTTCTGTTGTTAGTACTACTTGAATTTCTCCAGCAGATGGCCTTGACATTGCTTACCATTGTTCGATTACCGCTCTGCGGTCCGAAGGTTCCCATATACGCCACACCTGCCGCACCAAGGAAAGCACCGAACACTGCACAGAGTGCCGAGTCAACGAAACTCAGAGAGTAGTCCAATGGCCCATACATTCCAACCGCAATGTTGTTAGCGGTGATGTTCGTACTGAACCAAAGCAGAGCCATTTGCATGTAATTGGACGCGGAGGTAGCGTAGCGCTCGGACTCCGGAACACGCTCGATACCGCGGCTTTCGAGGAATTTGATGGATTGAATTCGAGCGTTGAGCCTCGTCCAGGCATTCCCTGAAGAAGGGAAGGAGGCCATTTCTTTTCCACTTTCCGAGGGAGACGAGACCGACTCTACGGCTGGAGCGGCGCGGTGGCCCTTCTCCTCGTCGTGCATGGTATCAGCCATGCTGGATATAGTGATAAAGGGTCTGCGAACTGGCGCAGGAGGGTTCCTCGGGAAAAGCAAAAGACGTTGAGGCCGCAAGTTTCAGAGATCGAAACGCAGCCGTTGAAGAGAACCTAGGAGGATTTAATGCAAGCCCAGCTGCATGGCGGGAAAAATCTCAGGGCCGGATGGGGGATAAAGAGGAGTTTTGCCCCCCTCGCAGTTGGCACTAGAGCAGGGACTAAGCTAAGGTAGAGTTGGATCCGGCGAAGATGGGATGTTGTTGGCGGAGAATGACTCCTCTGGCTTTCCTGCTCGGGCTTCGCCGTATTATTTTTTGGGAAATTTTTTTTCTTCATTTTGGCCACGAAAAGTTCAGTCACCCGCCAATGACAGGACCCGCGCGGCACCATCCATGCTTGGCTCGAGCACCCGCAGTGCTTAGCGGTTCAAGCAACGAGATTAATTCATTTCCGTCTTACTCTCCGATCCCGCCGGTCACCAACTTATTGTGATTAGCCTTGGGGTTCCCTGGGTCATCATCCTTGCCGTGGATGAACCTCAAAGGGTCTGAACATGGGTCGTGAAGATTATGCCGCGATTGTTATCTTCATCTGGAAGGCTTATCACTTCCATTGTCCCGGTTTTCCCTTTCCAGTTCTCCCGGTTCCTCTTCTGATTTGCAGTTGATGACATGACTAACACTAAGCTTTCTTGGGGTTAGCAAAATGCCCTCATTGGGGACTAATATTCTGCCGGCATCCCTCCACCGCCCAGGGGCAAATACTCTGTAGGGACATGGGCTGATGGATTCCAGCTAGTTCTAGGCTACAGCATCACCTCCGGTTGCGAAGGCGTTTCAGCTACCTATGGTGCAGAATGTATATTAATGCCTTGATTAAGCGGAAATTCTATTGACATGACTCGATATTAAATGGCTCATAGGCGGTCTTGACTATGTCTCCAAGCAGTGCATGGCCCGTCCTTATCACGATCCAAGTGGAGCATGTGCCCCGCTTTGCGAAGCGGAAGGTCTAGCCGTCGTTCCGTTCTTTCTCTCAATTGTCGACAGAGAGAGAGAGTCTGCCTGGTCCGTTCCTCGCCATGATCCAGCTCCCCACGTCTTTAGGCTGGGTCTCGACACAGTAGCACGGTAACAGTTGCACAGTAGCTCAACAGTCAACTCTCAAAGTTTTAGTCTTCCACCCTCCTTTGGCTCCATTACGAAATTGATTTGGCCGGAACACAATTTACACGCCTTGGCTGGGCAACTAACGTTAAGCTCAGCGACACTTTTCGGAGATAAGCGTACAAATACTATAATGAACGCGTACTCATCGAGTCACGGAGTTTTCACCATGGATTACCCCTCCGTTGGAGGACCGAAGAAAAGCCTAGTTCGGCCAAAGTCTCCTCGGTTCTCCGGAGCTCCGATACTGTCTACTAACGGCACTAAATCGATCCATCCACCCTGAGACCACCTAGATTACTGTACCGGTGGCCCTTTAAAGTGGAGGATGGCCACGCATTTAATCTATAACTCGGCAAAGTCCAGATCCTAGATAGGCCCTCAATTTGCCTTCCACCTCATGGTTCGATCAAAGAGAGCAAGAAAGCAGGAGACACGATTGTACGTGGCAAGCTGGCCTGCTCGTGCATTCTGATCCATCTGACTGGCTGTCACGGTGGGTGCGCCATACGTAGCCGAAGCTTAGTCGGGGTTCCCCGGTCATCTCCTGATGAGGTCCATGTTGCAAGTCGAAAACGCAAACCCGCTTTTCAAGCGCCGGAGAATTTCCGAAATCTATGATGTTTTCCAGCCTTGTGGCTGGCGCTATTCGAGACATGAGCAAGGACCTCATGACTAGAAGGGGTCCTTACCACCTGTGGTAAACAATATTTGGTGTACTATTGAGTCCATCTACCTCGTGTTCTTCGCACGTTGGACTCCGGGTCTTTCGGCTGTGACAAATAGACTTTGTGCAGAATTTTCTAGTTTATGCAGGGATGCAGTCTAGCAAGGATTCGAATCCTGTGATAAATGAAATTACTTATTCAGCGTTGATGGCGCGTTATGCCCCATAACCACTCAGCCGTCCCAATTTACCCCTCGTGCCGCCACCCAAGGGTGGGAGGCCACACGAACCATAGGAAGGAGAAAGCTAATAGTACTAACTCCTCAATCCATAGCCCTAATTAGCTGGAGGCTAAGTTTGGCAAGCCCCGGATTAAACAGCATGCCAGGTTCTAGAAGTTCATAAACAGCCATCCCGTACTTTAGGTTCAGAACTGTCCTTGCGACCATGACCCTGTTGCTTCTCGTTGCGCTCCCATAGAACTCATCATGGCCAATGATGGTGGCGGCAGTCCGCATGATTTGGTCGTGCAGACCTGGATCATGTACAGCATTGCTATTCTGCTGTTCCTGGTGAGACTGTATGTACAACACTTTGTCGTTCATAATTAACCTA